CCCGCCATTTCTTTTTTTACTAAAATTTACTGTCCATATACCCAAATCCCTGGCTTTTCAAAAACCTCGTTCTGCTTATTTTTTTTGTTCCCCTAGAACTCGTAATATTACTACACTGGGACTTCACTGTTTTCCGCCAAAACCCATACCATACTATTCCAGTTTTAAAGTCCTAACTGCTCCCCCCCACTGCAGTTTCCGGCACCACCCGACCTAGATAAATGAACCCATCCCTGGGATACATGTCATTTTTTTGCCTAGAAGAGGTCCCCGTTGTCAATGAATGTTACCGCATTTTCCTTCAGTATTTTTCCACCCGAATTGACACCCAAATTTCCCCGGACAACCCCTTCATTTCCAACTCCTTCCTTTGGGAAAATACCACAATGACAGGGTTCCCACCCTTTTTCTTAAATTATTTATATTGCCCGACCTATACCGCTAAACAGGTCTTCACTCCCACATTCCAACTCGTGCCTCCAGCACTGAGCAGATAATGGATTCCTCCCCTTACCTCTATGATGTCATCCAGATGGCTAAAAATACCCCCCCCCAGCCCCCGGAAAACAAACTCTCTGTTCCTACTCCTGTCCTTCAAGCAAAGCCCCATCCTATACCTAAATTGGCATCCCCAACAACAACAATATTTTACCTTCCCTTTGGGGTCGTTCGTCGTGATGTTCCCAGTAGTCGACTCACACGTCGGGGAGCACGAGATGTATTAGATGTTTTTCCCCAAAAAGTTTCCCCGGCAGTCTCTTTTTCTCACTTTTTTTTACCTTTCCCTTCGTCTTCTTGACGTCAACTTCATTCCCGTGTCCAGCCACGACCCTTTTTCCCCCCTTACCCGAGGACTCAAAACAGGGGGACACTACGAATCTTCTTGTTTTCCCGGTCGTCGCCGAATCTCCAAATTCGCCATCCCCAATTCTTCCCTTTAAACTGTTGGTAAAAATTGCTCGTGGAGGGATCCTGTTCGTTCGTAGAGAGTGCGCAAAAGGGCTTTACAGGCTAAGTCGCAACATGCGCAAAACCAACTCAATCAGGAGCTACTGCCCCACACGTCCGCACGGCCCCCAAAGCGTGCGAACAAAAGCAAATTCTTGACTAAAAAAGACTTTTCTCTGTTATCATCACTTCCAGGCCTCCTTTTATTACTTTGTTTTTATTTTGAATTTTTAATTTCACAATAAAGATTTACTGTTAGAGACTACGCATTATTTTAAAAATTGTATAAATAATGTCAAACCCATTCATGAGCTATTTGAATGGGTAGTTGGCATTTATTGACAAAGACGTCATTTGTTTTTCTCTTGAAAACGACAAAAATCAAAAAAAATTTCTGCTACTTTGAGCTCAATTTCAAGATCCTTTTCATTGTGAAACCAATCAAAATCATCTCTTTCTGTAATATGTTTTCCATTCTGTCAAGTGAGATCAAGAAAATGAGAATACAACTATAAGTACTATGCGAAAATACACCTCGAAGTCCACGTTTTAACACTTTCATGGTCAACAGGCCCTCTCCTAAACTTGTTCTATGGGTCAAAAATTTTTTGGAATTTTTTTTTCTTACGAAATGATAGAGAATCTTTTCCCGATCATAATGACATCAAAAGTATGAAATTTGATGGAAAACTTACAGAATTATGCTCTTGTGAAGTTAGCAGTCTCGACCGATGTTTACGCATCGGCGATTTCGCCCATTTTGAGCCCTATTTTCCGTCAATTCCAGTGTACTAGTCAACAAAACTCAAAACTATTTGGCTAGAACTCTCTTTTTTCTATCGAATGAGTACAAGAAACCACCCATTTACCGATTTCAACTATCCAATAAAGTGGTCAGAAATTAGCAATTTTGCCAATTTCCCACAAATTTCAGATGATGTCAATTTCCAAATAGGGTCCAGAATAAACAAGACTGACATTCCTGACACTGAAATAACATTTTCTCTGTTCATTAGTCATGTCCCCAGGCCCCTCTTACATTTCTTTTGCTTTCCACTTTGAATTTTTATTCTCACAAAAAAGTAGAAGATTTACTGTTATGCAGACTACTGCATTAGTGTAGAAATGGTATAAATAATATCAGTGCACTTGTGAAAGAATATTAGACTCACCAGTTGATGTGTATTGGATGCTTAGCATGATTTGTTTACTTCTGAACTTTGGTGAAAATCAAACATTTCTGCTACTTTGAGCTCAATTTCAAGTTACTTTTCATTTTGAAACCAATCAAAATCGTCTCAATTTCTGTAATATGTCTTCTATTCTATAAAATGAGACCAGGCAAACTAGAATACAACCATAAATACCATACAAAAATACAGTGCAAAGTCACTGTTTTAAACCAAAAACACGGTCAAAGTTTTTTTCTCATTATGCACTGTGTGCTGCAGGATTTTTTTTATACTGTGCACACTGACACACACACATTGATCCATTCTTTCGTATATAGGCTTACCAGCTTTCTCTCATTAGATTTGAATGTGCTAGAATTTACGCGTACTAGTACGTCAATAGCCCTGGTGCGTAAAATGTACTAGTATGTCAGAAACCCTGAAAGGGTTACTCCACAAACACGGTCGGGGTTTATTTTTTCTCATGCACTATGTGCTGGAGGATTTTTTTTTATACTGCACACACATGTGGGCCTACCAGCTATCTCCCACTTGATTTGAAACTTCTAAAATTATGGAGTATAAATATGTTGAAAACACTGGCTCATAAGATGTATGTATATGACCGAAACAGTCAGAGGGTTAAAAACAGAAAAAATACTACAGCCCCTCCTCACTTAACGAAGGAGTTCCATTCCTGAGACCACGTCAGTAAATGAATTTGTCATTTAGTGAGGAGCATACTGTAATGGTAGTAAGTTTGTGCCATCCATCTGTGATATGGTTTTAATGTCACCTTTGTACCATTTATAACATTTCTGGTATATTTTTAACCCTTTCAGGGTCGAGAGGCCCTCTCCAAAATTCGTTCTCAGGGTCGAAAATTTTTCAGAAAAAAAAAAAAAAAAATCTTATGAAAAGATAGAGAATCTTTTCCCGATCATAATGACACCAAAAGTTTAAAATTTGATGGAAAACTTACGGAATTATGCTCTTGCGAAGTTAGCGGTCTTGACGATGTTTACGCATCAGCGATTTCGCCCACTTTGAGCCCTATTTTCCACCAATTCCAGTGTACTAGTCGACAAAAATCATAACTATTTTGCTAGAACTACAATTTTTCTATCGAATGAGTACAATAAAGCACCCATTTACCAATTTCAACTATCCAATAAATGTCAGAAATTAGCAATTTTGCCGATTTCACACAAATTTCAAAAGATGCCAATTTCCAAATAGGGTCCAGAATAGACAAGACAGACATTCCTGGCATGAAAATAACATTTCCTCTGTTCATTAGTCATGTCTCCAGGCCCTTCTTACATTTCTTTTGCTTTCCAATTTGAATTTTTATTCTCAAAAAATAAAAGATTTACTGTTATGCAGATTACTGCATTAGTGTAGATATGGCATAAATAATATCATCGCACTTGTGAAAGAATATTAGACTCACCAGTTGATGTGTATTGGATGCTTAGCATGATTTGTTTACTTTTGAACTTTGGCAAAAATCGAACATTTCTGCTAATTTGAGCTCAATTTCAAGGTACTTTTCATTGTGAAACCAATCAAAATCATCTCAATTTCTGTTATATATCATTCATTCTATAAAATGAGACCAGGAAAACTAGAATACAACCATAAATACCATACGAAAATACAGTGCAAAGTTGCTGTTTTAAACCAAAAACACGGTCAAAGTTTTTTTTTTTCTCATTATGCACTGTGTGCTGCAGGATTTTTTTTATACCATGCACACTGACCACATAGCCCCATTCTTTCATATGTAGGCATACCAGCTTTCTCTTGCTAAATTTGAAGACGCTAGAATTTAGGCATACTAGTACGTCAATAACCCTGGTGCATAAGCCGTACTAGTACGTCGGAAACTCTGAAAGGGTTAAATGCTTATACAGTAGTGTACTGTATATTGAAATTAACAGAATAGAGGAAATCAGCTCTAATATACATTATTTAGGTATCAATACTGTTCAGAGAGCCCATCGCAAGTCCAAGGCATTGGTAAATGAGTACGTCTCTAATAAGGATGAGGTTTGATAATATTTTGTGGTTTTATTTGCACTTGTCAGGCTCTAGGAACCCTATTTGAACTCCAAAACAGCCCTAACCAGGCTCCATGGTGCCTGGGTCAGGGTCAGATTAATTAATTTAGAAATAATAGACAAAATAATCTCACTTATTAATCATTTCTGGCCACTTTCTTTCCCCAATTAGTCCATTAAATCAAGTGAATGGGTTGAAACTCACTGTCTTGTAACTTCAGGATTAGTAGTCTTTGCACTTTAACCAACCACACAGCAGAAGGTACTATTGTTCACTTAACTGCCTCACCTTTGTCCATTAGAAAAAATAAAAACTATCTAGTTCCTAAGTTCTCCATGGGAAAGTCCAACAGAATTCTTCCTCTGTAAGCCATATATGTCGTAAGAGGTGACTAAAATGCTGGAAGCAAGGAGCCAGTAACCCCCTTCTCCTGTATATATTACTAAATATAAAATAGGAAACTTTCGTTTTCCTTTTTTACTTTCGTTTTTCTTTTTGGGCCACCCTGCCTCAGTGGGATATCACCCTGCCTCAGTGGGATATGGCTGGTTTGTTGAAAGAAATAGTTCTTAAGTAGTGTGTAAGCATTAAGATTAGTCTGCCCAGAATGCACCACATGTTAGTGGCTTTCTTTTGTGCTTAACAATATTTTATTACATGTAAACTACATTTTGTAATACTGCAGAAAGAAATAAAGTTTGTTAAGGTGCCTAAACTGGTAATTTTAAAATTGTTACACTCACTCCATTTGAATTGTTACATTTGTTTATTATAAATTTTTAATTCATGCTTATATACTGCATATTGTATTTTCAGAATCCAAAAGATGAGCAGTGGAACAGAGCAATGGATTATATTGGCGCAGTTTCAGAACTGAATTATCTTAGCCAGATTGTCATCATGCTCTATGAAGATCCTACTAAGGACCCATCCTCAGATAGTAGGTAAGTCACAGGACCCATCCTCAGATAGTAGGTAAGTCACAGGACCCATCCTCAGATAGTAGGTAAGTCACAGGACCCATCCTCAGATAGTAGGTAAGTCACAGGACCCATCCTCAGATAGTAGGTAAGTCACAGGACCCATCCTCAGATAGTAGGTAAGTCACAGAACCCACCCTCAGATAGTGGGTAAGTCACAGGACCCCTCCTCAGATAGTAGGTAAGTCACAGGACCCATCCTCAGATAGTAGGTAAGTCACAGGACCCATCCTCAGATAGTAGGTAAGTCACAGGACCCATCCTCAGATAGTAGGTAAGTCACAGGACCCATCCTCAGATAGTAGGTAAGTCACAGGACCCATCCTCAGATAGTAGGTAAGTCACAGGACCCATCCTCAGATAGTGGGTAAGTCACAGGACCCATCCTCAGATAGGTAAGTCACAGGACCCATCCTCAGATAGTAGATAAGTCACAGGACGCCTCCTCAGATAGTAGGTAAGTCACAAGACCCATCCTCAGATAGTGGGTAAGTCTTAGGACCCATCCTCAGATAATAGGTAAGTTACAGGACCCCTCCTCAGGTAGTAGGTAAGTTACAGGTCCCCTCCTCAGATAGCAGGTAAGTCATAGGACCCCTCCTCAGATAGTAGGTAAGTCACAGGACCCATCCTTAGATAGTGGGTAAGTCACAGGACCCATCCTCAGATAGGTAAGTCACAGGACCTATCCTTAGGTAGTAGGTAAGTCACAGGGCCCCTCCTCAGATAGTAGGTAAGTCACAGGACCCCTCCTCAGATAGCAGGTAAGTCACAGGACCCATCTTCAGATAGGTAAGTCACAGGACCCCTCCTCAGATAGGTAAGTCACAGGACCCATCCTCAGATAGTAGGTAAGTCACAGAACCCATCCTCAGATAGTAGGTAAGTCACAGGACCCATCCTCAGATAGTAGGTAAGTCACAGGACCCCTTTTCAGATAGTAGGTAAGTCACAGGACCCATCCTCAGATAGTAGGTAAGTCATAGGACCCATCCTCAGATAGTGGGTAAGTCACAGGACCCATCCTCAGATAGTGGGTAAGTCACAGGACCCATCCTTAGATAGTGGATAAGTCACGGGACCCTTCCTCAGATAGTAGGTAAGTCACAGGACCCATCCTCAGATACTGGGTAAGTCTTAGGACCCATCCTCAGATAGGTAAGTTACAGGACCCATCCTCAGATAGTGGGTAAGTCACAGAACCCACCCTCAGATAGTGGGTAAGTCACAGGACCCATCCTCAGATAGTAGGTAAGTCACAGGACCCTTCCTCAAATAGTAGGTAAGTCACAGGACCCCTCCGCAGATAGTAGGTAAGTTACAGGACCCCTCCTCAGATAGTAGGTAAGTCACAGGATCCATCCTCAGATAGTGGGTAAGTCACAGGACCCATCCTCAGATAGTAGGTAAGTCACAGGATCCCTCCTCAGATAGTAGGTAAGTCACAGGACCCATCCTCAGATAGTGGGTAAGTCATAGGACCCATCCTCAGATAGTAAGTCACAGGACCCCTCCTCAGATAGTGGGTAAGTCACAGGACCCCTCCTCAGATAGCAGGTAAGTCACAGGACCCATCCTCAGATAGTGGGTAAGTCACAGGACCCATCCTCAGATAGTAGGTAAGTCACAGGTCCTATCCTCAGATAGTGGGTAAGTCACAGGACCCATCCTCAGATAGTAGGTAAGTCACAGGACCCATCCTCAGTTAGTAGGTAAGTCACAGGATCCATCCTCAGATAGCAGGTAAGTCACAGGACCCATCCTCAGATAGTAGGTAAGTCACAGGACCCATCCTCAGATAGGTGTCGCAGGACCCCCCTCAGATAGTGGGTAAGTCACAGGACCCATCCTCAGATAGTAGGTAAGTCCTCAGCAGGTCAGTCACTGGGCCCATCTTTGGATAGTAGATGAATTACAGAACCAATCCTCAGTAGGTGAGTCACAGGACTCATCCTCAGTGAGTACAGGACCCATCCTCAATAGGTGAGTCACAGGACCCATCCTCAGTAGGTGTATCACAGGACCCATCCTCAGTAGGTGTGTCATAGGTGTAACAGGACCCATCCTCAGTAGGTGTGTCACAGGACCCATCCTTAGTAGGTGTCACAGGACCCATCCTCAGTAGGTGTCACAGGACCCATCCTCAGTAGGTGTGTCACAGGACCCATCCTCAGTAGGTGTGTCACAAGACCCATCCTCAGTAGGTAAGTCACAGGACCCATCCTCAGTAGGTGTGTCACAGGACCATCCTCTCATCCATAATAATTGATACATGTCTCCTCTCATCCATTATTATTATCAATTATTAATAGTATTTTTTTCTTAACCTTTCACTGTCGGTCCCATAATATTACGGCTTGCAAGCAAGTGTTGGTCCCATAATACTACACCAAAATTCTAGCGGTTTTCCAGTCTTGCAGGAGAAAGCTGGTAGGCCTACTTATGAGAGAATGGGTGTGAGTGGTCAGTGTGCAGTATAAAATAAATCCTGCAGCATGCAGTGCATAATGAGAAAAAAACTACGACCGTGTATTTCTTTTAAAACAGTGACTTTGCGGTGTATTTTCCTGTGGTATTTGTGGTTGTATTCTCGTTTTCATGGTCTAATTTTATAGAATTGAAGATATATTACAGAAATAGAGAAGATTTTGAATGGTTTATGGACTAAAAGTACTTTGAAATTGAGCTCAAAGTAGCAGAAATGTTCGATTTTGCCGATGTTGAACATCGGCAAAAAATCACATCATGCTTCCAATACATGCCAACTGGTGGGTCTGATATGCTTTCACAAATGCACTTATATTATTTATACCATTTTTACAATACTGCAGTAGTCAGCATAACAGTAAATCTTCTATTTTTTGTGTGAATAAAAGTTCAAAATGGAAAGCAAGTGTAATATAAGAGGGGCCTGGAGATGTGACTAATGAACAGAGAAAAATGTTATTTTAGTGCTATGAATGTTTGCATTGTTAATTCTAGACCCTATTTTGGAATTGGCCTTTGAATTGTGTATAAAATTAGCCAAATTACCAATTTCTGATCACTTTATTGAGTAGCTGAAATCAATAAATGGGCAGTTTCTCATACTCATTTGGTAAAACAAAAGGAGTTCTAGCAAAATAGTTATGAGTTTGGGTGACTGGAGCAATGGAATTGGCCAAAAATAGGGCTCAGAGTAGGCAATATTGCCTATGAGTAAATATAGCCGAGACCGTTAACTTCGTGAGAGCGTAATTCTGTAAGTTTTCCATCAAATTTTTTACTTTTGTTGTCATTACCATAGGGAAAAGATTCTCTATCATTTCCCGCTGAGGCAGAGTGACCCAAAAAAAAAAAAAAAACTGAAAAAAAAAAGAAAAAACTTTCATCATCATTCAATACTTCCACCATCACTCATACATAATCACTGTCTTTGCAGAGGTGCTCAGATATAACAGTTTAGATGTCCCTCCAAACTGCCAATATCCCAAACCCTGCCTTTAAAGTGCAGCCATTGTACTTCCCATTTCCAAGACTCAAGTCCAGCTAACCAGTTTCCCCAAATTCCTTCAAAAAATATTACCCTGCTCACTCCAACAGAGCATCAGGTCCCAAAAACCATTCATCTTCATTCACTCCTATCTTACACGCTCACACAAAACCTCCTTTACCCCCTCCCTCCACCCTTTTTTAGGATGACCCCCTACCCTGCCTTCCTTCCCTTACATATTTATACGCTCTCCAAGTCATTCTACTTTGTTAACCCGTTAACTGTCCAAATGTAGATCTACATTCGCTCGCCCAGCGCTCCAAATACTATTTAAAAAAAAAAAAATTAAATAAAAGAGGGCAATTTTTTTTGTGTAATAGGGCCAAAAAAAAAAAAATTTAGGACTAGTACTTACCGAGATATAAGACCACGAAGCTGGCACTGGATGCTCACGTGACGGCAACATGGAGTCCTGCTGCTTGCAGAAGTGTTGCCGATATACCTTTTTTCTTGTTTTTATATTATTTTATATAATTTTTATGTTCTGATAATTACAATTTATAGTAGTTCTTGTGATTTCATAGCCAATCTTTGTTTTGCCACTCATATTAGGTACTGAAATTGTACTCAAATTGTTACAAACACACTGACAGGTCAACATTTACACCTGCCTTGGTCATTTACTATTGCCCAGGAATATATACAAAGTATTTATAGGTCCCAGAAATGTTTTAGACACACTGGAGTATATACGAAACTACTTGAAGCATAGTGTTAAGACGAGTGTTTCAAAACTGCTGACGGGTAAGCAGTGGAGTTACACTTGATGATTGTGCACTGCTGTAGAGAACCCCTGGCTTTATTTGTTTTCACTGTTACACATAAACATGTCTGTTTATCTGTCTAGCTATGTCTATTTATCTGTCTGTCTTTCTGTCTGCCTGTGTGTGTCTTTCTGTCTGCCTGTATCTGTCTGTCTTTCTGTTTGCCTGTGTGTGTCTCTCTTTCTGTCTGCCTGTGTGTCTTTGTCTTTCTGTCTGCCTGTGTGTGTGTGTGTGTGTCTTTCTGTCTGCTTATCTCTCTTGTCTCAGAGAGTTGCTCATGAACCAACTGGTATTACACACAATCATATCTGATTCCTGAACAAGTGAAAATGTGTATTACTTGCCACTTGCCAGTCATGCATATTATGCATTATATCTACAAGCATAGTATAGCACTTCGTCTCAATTTTTTGGGTTATCCTAGGTAATTTACTCTGTGTATAATTGTATTTGAGTATGTGTACCTGTGAGATAGAGACAGATTGACAGAGATAGAGACAGCCAAGTATTACCAGTATTACCAAAACTGAAAGGGTGTTGCACAAATGTTGCACATTGGTTATTATCGAGTTTTTTGATATTTCCGCAACCACTTGTGGCCACATCCACGTCAAAGCCATGAAACTCAGGGTCAACATCACTTTCTCTTAAAAGGGGAGTGTTAATAT